GGAGGTACCAGAAATCTTTGTTTTAATTAAAGGAAAATGATAAAGTCATTATGTAGTTCAGATGCTAATATTCTAAATAATAATATATACTTACATTAAAGCTAAAACTGTTAAGCTAAACAGTGCCTAATTTGTTGTTTCTAAGTGTTCTGGAGTCTAGCTTGTTAGTATTCTGTTCCTACTTTAAGAATTGAATTGCTCACTTGTTCTAAAAGCTTCGTCAAACAAGCTGATGTTAATTATTTTCACTAAAGCTACTGAGATATTTGCCTCTTTGGAAAATGTGTTGATTTTTTTTCTGTTTAATAAAAGCAAGTTATATATTTGGGATGCTTTTTTTAAATGCAGCTTGTGTCATCCAGCCTATTTTGTATATTTCACCTGATGAACACATGGCCGTTAGCCCGTAAACCAACAGATAATTGCTACTGTTCATTAGGGTCCCTAGTCCACAAGTGAGCCCAAGCACCATAACTCTAAAATGCATGATGAAAGCATGGAAGATGCTTCTCATCCTTCCCGAGATCTGGGAGGTGCAGGTTAAGTGTTCAGTGCTGCTATTTCTTTGAATCAAACTTGGAGAGACCTTCACATAGAAAAATTTAAGTTATATCATTATAAACCAGTATGAGAAGGAGTTACTTTTTTACAAATTGTGTTTATATATTTAATTTTCCACCTTGGAAAGAAAAAATCTGGATCCCTACCTCAAACCGTAAACAAATATATGTGAGTTGGATTACAAGCAACTTTTAAAAGTAATATTAAATTTGAAAGAATATTATTTAAATAAGCTAAAGAGGTACAGTCATAAGAGACATGATTAAATATATGAAAATTTAAAACATTAAGTGCTATGAAAGTAAAAAATAAGTTATAATGTTTTTAATATATAAGGGATAATTTATAAAAATGTATAAATATAAAACTGATTAGAAAAATTGCCTAGTAGAAATATGAACACACTGAAAAAAAACAGCAGTATTTTTTACAAGAGAATATCCAAAAGGCCAAAAACATGGAAACAATACTCTTCACTAATAATCAAGGAAATACAAGTTTAAACACAAGGGTTCCACATCACCCCCATCCAATTAGCAAAAACCTAAGTTTCAAAATACAAGTGTTGTCATGGACAATGAAGTAGGGGAACACTTTCCTGTCTGTGGGGAAAGACACTGGCATGACCATCGAATTTGCAGTATCTGGTAAAATTAAAGATTTTCTACCATGTTACCTTCTGGAAGTACATGTGTGTGTGCATGAGGAAGCACACACAAACATGTTCACGCCAGCCTTGTGTGTGATGGCGGAAAGGAGTCCTCACTAGCACTCAGCATTGGTAGTGAATGCACGTGATGGAATCCCGTACATCAGTTATAAGGAACAAACCAGAATTATATCCGTCAGCACAGATATATCTCAAAACTAAGAAAAGCAAGTTGTGGGAAAATGTGTGTTTTATGATAGCAGTTTATCTAAACTATGAAGTATGTCCAATGATACTATATATTATGTTCTTGTATATAATAATAATATATATGAATGAAAATCCATAGATTTGCTGGTACAAACCAAGAAATGAATATTTGATTGGGGAGATTTACAGGAAACATCAGTGTGATTGTAGTGTTTATAAACTTGGGAAACAAACACTTGTTTTATGCTATATTTTAGCATATTTCAAATCGTTCATAATTAAAGTGTTTTAAAAAGATTACATAGGATTTAGGTGAATAGGGACATGACCATTAATACACACACATTCCGAAAAAGTTGCCTTATCTACACTATTTTAGGAGAAAAAATTGCTACCCTTTCCACTCTTTTGGGCAAGAAATTTGAGAGAAGTAGTTTTTACCAGTCATCTCAAGCAAGAGCAAAATTTAGACAAATGATTAAGAACCAACTTGCAATTTTCATATTAAGTTTTTGGTATCTAGGCATTTTGCTTTTTCCTCATCAGGTTATTTTTAATAATATTATAAAATTATCCAGATTCTATGTAAATTATTAGGGTATGAGATGCAGGACCCTCTTTTCTGTGTCCAGCACCCCACTCCACAGGTAACCACTGTTAATGTTTTGACAGATACCTCTATATTTGGATACATACACAATTGTAGGTTTGTTTGGGGCATCTGTGTTTTTTGTTATTACCATTACTGTTGTTTTTAACATAAAAGGTTACACTTTAATACTATTTAACAAGTTGCCATTCACACCAGCAGTATCCTACAAAAGCCTTTCTTTGGGCTCATGCAGATCTGCCCTATGGCGTTTCAGTTGGCTCTTATGTTATTTGTTTCTGGTTGAGATGCACAGCCCCAGCTGGAGTCAGGACAGTTGGGCTCAAATCACAGGTCTGCCACTTAACAGGTCTTGGGATCTTGGGCAAATTACTTATTTTGTCTGTACCTCATCCACCTCTGAAAAATTGAATTAATAACATACCTACCTCATGGTGGTGGTTGTAAGGATTAAATGAATTTTAAAAGAGTTTGGCAAACAATTCATTTTTAAAAGCTGTCTATTTTTAATACTCCTGGCACAACTCCCCATCTTTCTAAAGAGTGACTTATCCTCATGTTTTAAGCCCATATTTGACCTTGGCCACCAGAGATGACAACAGAATCCACATGCTGCCACCAGATCCAAGTTCTTGAATGAGACCAGTCTCTTCCTGGAGACCTTAAAGTTGCTTGTATAGTCAACCTGTGAATAATACAGGGTCAGAGATGCTGCCCCCTGCCACCACACATGCACACGGATATCCTTTTTCTTTTTTTTATTATATTTTATTGATTATGCTATTACAGTTGTTCCAATTTTACTCCCTTTCTCCCCTTCCACCAAGCACCCGCCAATCCCTCAGGCAATCCCCCCACCATTGTTCATGTCCATGGGTCATGCATATAAGTTCTTTGGCTACTCCATTTGCTATACTGTACTTTACATCCCATGGCTATTCTGTAACTGCCTATTTGCACTTTTAATCCCATCACTTCACCCCTTCCCCTACACTCCCTCTTGTCTGGCAACCATCAAAACACTGTCTGTATCCATGATTCTGTCTTTGTTTTTCCCGTTTGCTTAGTATTTTTTATTTGACAGGTATGTATTTATTGCCATTTTATTGTTCATAGTTTTGATCTTAAATAAGTTCCTGTAACATTTCATATGATAATGGTTTTGTGATGATGAATTCCCTAAGATTTCCTTATCTAGGAAGATCTTTATCTGTCCTTCAATTCTAAATGATATCTTTGCTGGATAGAGCAATCTTGGCTATAGGTCCTTGCTTTTCATGACTTTGAATATTTCTTGCCAGTCCCTTCTAGCCTGCAAAATTTTTTTTGAGATATCAGCTGACATTCTTATGGAAACTCCTTCGTAGTTCTGCTTTGTAGAACTGCTTTTCTCCTGCTGCTTTTAAGATTCTTTATCTTTAACTTTTGGCATTTTAATTATGATGTGTCTTGGAGTGGGCCTCTTTGCATCCATCTTGGTTGGGACTCTCTGTGCTTCCTGGACTTGCATTCACCAAATTAGGGAAACTTTTTTTTCATTTTTTCAAATAGATTTCCAATTTCTTGTCATTTCTCTTCTCCTTCTGGCACCCCTATGATGCAAATGTTGGAATGCTTGAAGTTGTCCTGGAGGATGCTTACACTGTCCTCATTTTTTTTAATTCATTTTTCTTTTTTGTTCTGATTAGTTGTTTTTTTCTTCCTTATGTCCTGAATCATTGACTTGATTCTTAGCTTCATCCACTCTACTGTTGTTTCCCTGAAAATTGTTCTATATTTCAATTAGTGTAGCTTTCATTTCTGATAGTATCTTTCTTTTTTATGCTGATGAGGTCCTCACTAAGTTCCTTGAGCATGTTTTGAACTCTGCATCTGATAGACTGCTTATTTCCATTTTTATTTCATTCTTTTTCTGGAATTTTGATCTCTCCTTTCATTTGGGCCATTTTTGTTTTTTTCCTCATTTTGGCAGACTCCCTGTATTTGTTTCTACTAGGTTGAGCTGCTATGACTCCCTGTCTTGGTATTATGGCCTAATGTAGTAGGTGTTCTGTAGGATCCAGTGACACAGCCTCCCCTATTAGCCAAGTTGGGTACTTGAGATATGTTCTTCGTGTAAGCTGAGTACATCCTCCTCTTGTAGTTGATCCTTGGTTGCTGTTGGCGGGTCAGTGGGAGGGATTTACCCAGGCCAGTCAGCTGCAAGGATTGGCTGTGATCACTGAACATGAACATCCACCCTCTCGGGAGGATCAGAGTGTTGGTGCTACAGTGAAGTTTGTAGCTGTCCACTGGGTGCATACAGGTCCTGGTTTCCCAGGTGATGTAAGCCAAGGTCAGACTCCATCTGTGTTTTTTTCTGGAAATACCCTGCCCGAGCCATACAGCAATCTGAAATGGCTGCTACTTGTGTTGAGCTCGGACATTCCCAGGCAAAGGCAAGCTGTGAATCTAGGCTGGCTGCTGCTAGTGCTGTGCCTAGGGCCACTTAGGAAGAGGTTAAGGGGGCTGGAGGCTCACTGAGGCCAGCTGTTGCTTGCTTGACAGGATTTAGGAATTTCTGAAGCTTGAACTAAGACCACCCATTCATCTGGAAAAACTACTATTTTTTTTTTTGAAGGCCACTGACTTTATTGACTCAAAAAACTTTGTATGGACTGTGACTGTTCTGCCAAAAGAGAAGCCAAATGGCATAAAACAGACCAGAGGTGAGGGTGGGAGTGAGGGAAGGGTCCAGGAATCCACTCAGAAAAACTTGAAACTAGGAGGGGGAGGAGAAGGGAGATGCATGCAAGAGCAAGAATTCCAGAAGAGTTGAAATGGTGAGGGGAGAGAACTCCCACAAAAGACATCGGAGGTGAGTAGACAGCAACTGGTTCCTTTGTAGAGGACAAGGGAGGAGCCCCCACTCAGCTGCAAATTCTGGAGACTCAAGGCTGGGGTCAGGGGTTGGGGGCTCCCCAGAGGGCATCACAGGAAGGTGTCACACCACTCTTGAAGGCACCGGCAGCAGTCCTGGGACTGCTTGGCATTGGCACCACATGTGCCCTTTAGCCATTCCCGGAAGAGGTCTTCATCTTTCTTTAGCACCAGAAACTGGCCAAGGACCACATAGGCCTTGTCAAAGCCCCTTTCCTCCAGCTTCTTGCCCAGGACTTCACCAATTCCAGCCAGGCTCCCCACTGGCTTTTCCCCCATGGGCTCTGCCACGAATTCTCTGTGCTTTTGGGAGGTTGTCATCTTGATCAGAGTTAACCGACAGCTCCAGCTCCTGTAATGGCTCCTTCTACCGCCTGGCTGCTCCCGCTAATACCTGGAAAAGCTACTATTAACAGCTATAAGTTGGATGAAACAGAGCCTCAGGGGGTCTCCTGGGTGGAGCAGTGTTAGCCAGGTTGATGGAGTCTCAGATATGGCACCCGCCTACTGGCTCTGTGGCTGCGCCCACCTTTCTGTCTGGGAGAAAGCTGACCCCCAGCTCTCACCTTGGTGACAGACACTTCAGTTCCTCTCCTCATGCCACTGGTGCCTTTCAATCTGCTAGAGCTCAGAAGGAATGAATCTGTGTGGATTCTTTAGTAGAAACTGCTAGGGACTCCAGAAGTTTCTTCCACTGACTCAATTCCCATTGGTTTTTGCAGCCAGAAGTTGTGGGGACTTATTTTCCTGGCACTGGAACCCTGGGCTGGGGGGTGGTGGTGTGAGGCTTGGATTCCTCACTCTCAAGAGATCCCTCCTGAATTTTTATCCACCACACGTGGGTGTGGAACCAGCCCATTCCATGTCTCCACCCTTCCTACCAGTCTGGGTGGATGTGGTTTCTTTAATTACATGGTTTTGGACTTTGATTCAACTCAATATCTGCTGATTATGAGTGTGGTGGTTCTCTAATTTAGTTGTAATTTTAACATGAATGTGCAAGGAGATGAGCCATGCACACTGCCATAGAAGTAAATGATCTAGTTTTGTCCTACATCTTGTGACTCCCCTGCAACTTAACTTCTAGTGTCCTAGTGTTGGCTAAAAGCCTTACTGATAACACATACTTTGCATATTATATGTATTATATACTATATTCTTACAAAAAAGTAAGTTAAAATTATTATAAAAATTATAGGAAAAGAAAAAACATAGTATTGTATATATTTATTGAAAAAAATTCTGGGCATAAGTGAGCTCACACAGTTTAATCCCATGTTCAAGGGTCAATTGTACTTAAAAATGAAAGAGTCCCATTTGATATAATGATTTGCCTAGTGCTGGTTCATTTTATGCCTACTACCAGTAAAGACAAATACAAAAAGAGTTAACAATCAAACTCATCCTTTTTTCACTCAATTGCCTTTGATAAATGACTTGAAATAAAGGATGACTTGCAATTATACAACAAAGGTTTTTTTGTTTCTAACATTGTTTTTGGTGTATACATAGCTCATATTTATTTGGTGCTTTAGAGGTTACACAGAATTTTTATCTGATCCACATATAGAACCAAAAAGTACACAAAGAGATTGCTATTTACAAAGGTCACACAACCAGATAAATAAAAGGCAGAAGCCCAAACCTGATTTCCAGTCTGCTCTTCCCAATAGCCCAATTTTACAAAGGCTGAAGAAGATGGCACTAGATTTCAAGGCACTCCAAAATAGTAAACTACTTATTCTGGATCTTCAGTTGGTTTTCTTTTTCTTTTAAATGTTACTGCTTTCCTGCAAGTTTTCATCCTTAACACGTCAGACTCCTCATATGGATAGATATATGTTGTTTACGGCAAGAAAAAATGCCACCATGTGCTCCCTCAAAAGAACTTTTCTGACAGGTATTTTGAGAAGAATCGTGAAACATTCCAGTAATTGTGTAGAACTGTTGGCATTTCTGCTTCACAAACTGAAGAAATTCATCTGGAAGTCTTGCAAATAAGTCATCTGGAGAAGAAAAAGTGCTACAATTTCAAAGAAATGTATAATTTTCAAAACAAGCAACTTTTTAATTTCACAACTTATTCTTTTATTCCTACGTACTTGCTAGATTGTAATGATAGCCCAAATTCCTTGCCTGATCTGCATTCACATCTTTTGCCATGTGACTTTGCAATTCTTTCAATAAAGAGAACCCATTTCTTCACCCATAAAAGCAGGTTTTGTGACTAATAGAATGAGATGAAAATGATACCAGGCCAGTTCTTAGACTAGGCCTCACAGGTCTACATGTGTTTGCTTGCTTTCCCTGTGCCCGAGATGGTGTGAGAAAGACATCTCTGGGCCAGCTGAATGAATGGTTCTTAGAAGAGGATGAGAGGTGTGTGGAGCAGAGCTCCCAGCTGAGGCCAGCCTAGCACATTCAACAGTCAGACCCTCAGACATGAGGGAGTTCAGCCAAGATCAGCAAGCCCACACAGCCACCCCCTAGGTGACTCAATGTGTGAGCAACAACTGCTGATCCCCTAGCTATGCCACTGAGGTTTCATGGCTGGTTGTTATATAGTCTTGGTGTGGCAATGGATGGGATACACCCTCAAACTTGTATACAAGTTACTCTAATTACAAATTCATTCACTGTGTTCAGATTTGCATATGCTATTTTCCCCAAAGTCCCACAGACTATTTGTTAAATCCAACACAAATGTTCCTCAGGCACTCTGTCCAGCTCCCAACTAGCTCAAAACAATTCCAACTTAACAATTCCTTTATTATTTGTGATGCAGAAATACTTTTTCTTTCTTTATCCTTCCCTCTCATCAGTTATTTATTGGGTGATGCTTGAGACTGCATAACAGTTTAAACCTAGAAAGATGAAAACCTGGGATGGATGAAAAGAAATGGATCTGGGCCATCAAGGGAAATCATAGGATGCGTGAGTGGCACAGCAGGGATGAGAGAAGGAGCCCTGGAGCTGCTCCGTACCCCAGTCCAAACAGCCCAGACAGAGAATGGATCTACTATGGTAAACATCAAAATTTATCAACAGTCCTAAAAGACAGTAACTTTATAGTGTTGACATGGGGGAAGATTTATTAACTAGGACATAAATGTGATCCTAAAGCAAGTAATATTGTAAATCAACTAAACTTTTGAAATAAATGAAAAGTTTTAGTCACTAAATGAGACAATGAAGTGATTGAAAATGCAATCTAGTCCATAGAAGTGATTACTTGTAACACATTTATACACAAATTTATATAGAGAAGTTGTCAATAAGAAGTTTGGCAGAAAACCCAGTAAAAAATACAAACACAAAGTTAGATAGGCACTTTGTTAAAAAGTAAATACATATCACCCTAGACATATAGAAAGATGTTCAAATTCCTTAATAACTGGAGAAATATAAATTAAAACCAGGGTAAGATGTCACAACTTATCTACAGAATATCTAAAACATCTGGACGGAAATGCTGTGGTAGGGATGCAGTAGAGCCCTAGAAATCCACTTGGGAGAATGCAAGCTGGGACACAAAAGAGCTCCACAGCCCCCTCGGAACTCGTCTGTTTGGACTCGTCTGTTTTATGGATTGCCAGATGAAACATAGGATGCCCAGTGAAATCTGAATTTCAGACAAGCAATGAATTACTTTTTAGTATAAGCATGTCCCATGTGACAGTTGGACATATTTATACTAAAAAAATTAGTATTTCATTTATCTGAAATTCAAATTTAACTGGACATCCTGTCTTTTTATTTTTATTTTTTTCTAAACCTGGCTATTCTACTATCTCATTGAAAATTGGGGAGGAGTAAATTGAAGGAAAAAAGAAGCACCTACGATGTGTGAGAAAAAAAGCGGGTCCAGGCCCAGCTACGTCAAGAGACCAAGTGGCATTATGGGAAAGAGTAACTCGACCTTTGGTGTTTTTCATGGTTCGTCATCAGAAAAACCTTCATGTATTGAAGGAGGAGAGAGGTTCATTGGAGAGTTCATGGTGAAGAAACCCTTTGGATGACTTCTGCTTCTGGGTTTTAGCTACTGCAAGTCATTGGGAAATAATATACTTAAGAAATTCCACTGGAGGCCTTACTAGCCTCCACATTATTATTATGATAATTATGACAATTGTTAAATTTGGGTGACAAGTATATGGCTCATAAGTGTCCATGGTTTTTAACTCTTTTGCATGTTTGAAATTATCCATAATAAAGTGGGGAATCAATTATTGAGATGCTCCTATCATAGCAACCAGCTGCACTATGCACATGTGGAGACTCATTAATTTGGGATAATTTGTTTCCTTTCCACCAATGAAGAATTGTGTACAAGTCAAGGGAGATGATGTCATACAAGTATTAATTTGCAAAGGCAACTTGCTGTTAGCAAAGTTTATCAAAAGGTTTTATGATTCAGTCTTAACTAAAAATAATACACTCCAAAATCCGATTGAACATGCATTATTTGTAAAAAAGAAGGTGGAGAGAAGTAAGGAAAATAAAATTTAAGTCCGACCTTTGCACCACTTACTCTGCTAGGAGACATTTGAGGTAGGTTTCTAACATCCCATTTCACAAATGAGGCTCTGAGCAGCGGAGGAACTCACCCAGAGTGGTGCTGAGGCTGAAGACAGATATCGAGTTCCATGGCCCTCATTTCTGCCTGCTGTACTCTGCTTCCACTTTCCAGTCTTAAATTTGTACTTTACAATCACTCTTCAAAAAGGCGAGGGGGGAGTTGTTTTTGTTTTTAATTTTTGCAGTGATTATCTCTTATAGAGCCCACCCCTAGCTTTTGTAAACCTGGTCTCAACTGCCCAAACTTGGAAAAAATCGAAATGAGTGATCAGTATTTCTCTGACACCAGTTATTCTGCCATTTTAAAACATAAAGGATGGATGTTAATTTCTACCAGATGTTGTGACACATCCCCACTAAATATAAGTGGGTGCCTCAAAGAACTATGCAGGAACTTGAACAGAGGATGGCCCTGCCCTCAAGTAGGTAACAATATAAATCATGCCTTTTCCCTGACACATCACATCATCGCCACCATTTTTGAAGTTCCCTAAATTAGTAAGCGTTTGGGGCTCTTTTTATCTGTTCCTCCAGTTAAGATGTATATTCCCACACCAAAATCACACTGTCTTCATTACTATAGCTTTATAATAAACCTTTATATATTGAAGTCATTCCTTTCCCCTCTTCTTTCAAAATGCTTTGGCTATTCTGGGATCCATACTCTTCTATATTAATTTTAGAATAACTTTGTTAAGTTCCACAACACGTGTGAGGATTTAACAGACAAGCTATTGTTTCTGGCTAATAAACATGAAGAATAGC